TCTTTTTACATTCGAATATTGTTGGTGTCATTCTGGAGGATATTAACAATGATCCTTTATCACTAACATTAGACACAGCGAATATTCAGCAAAACTTTCTCAATCGTCAATGTGTCAACTAGGGATGGGATCATGCAGAGTAAACAGAAACTAAGCAGAGGTTCGACTTCGTTCAAAAAACAAATTTATAAGGGGCTGACAATCTTCCCGCCTTGCCATGAATGCTCCAAAGCAGACCCGAGTATGCCACACTCATCGAGACATTACTGTATTTATGAAACGTTCAAAACTATCCAGTTAAATTCGAACCAACTTGTAATGCACGCTATACCATCAGCAGTCTCAACATCTCATGCACATAATAATAAAACCAACACCCAATCACCGCCAAGACTGTTCCAACGCAACTAAAAAGAAAAAAGAACCCCTCGTCCACGGCTCAGTTAAGGGCCCATCCTCAATTAAAACACAGACACGGACTCCTCGAGGCGGCACTCCGCGGAAAAGAAATCCCCGATTTCCATTCCAACGATCGCGTGCACGTCTATCGATCGATAATTATCACCGTTCGGTGGCCCGTTCGCATAACAATCGTCGGCCCTTGCTCCCACCGAAAGGGTATCCAGGATCGCGGACCGGGCGACTCGTTACGAATAAATTAACCAAATCGCGAGTCCGTAGTGGACGTGGACCGTCGACATTATTATTCGCGGGCTTGTATGCAGGTGAGCGCCACCCCCTATTCACCCAACCCCCTGTGTAACCCCCCTCGAGTCTTTCAGCGTCTTCGGTGAATTCCCCGTGGCACGCCGGCGTCTGACGCCTTAACAAATCTAATTCCGTTTCTCGAGACGCGGCAGCCGGCTCTGGCGCCCCCGTCGCCACACTCCCACCCCTCCCACACCCCTTCTAGCCACCCCTTCTTCAGACGAGCCCGCACTTAGAGAGCGACTCTGGCACCCTTCTCGTTCCCATCCGCCCACGGTCTTATCCATTGCCGCATCGAGATTTCAAAGCATTGATAAAGAAGACGCTATGCACCACCCCTCGCGAGGTGAAATGGGGGAAGGGGGTGCAAAGTGGAAAGCCGATCCGCGGGGGGTTGGTTCGAAAGAAGTGGAGGAAGAAGACAGAAAGAGGCCGCGAGGGTAGCCAGGGGTTGATTCTAATGATGCCTCTGTACCCCACGGCGGATACCTTCACCGATAGCTCGAAACGTAGATCTCACCACCCACCCCCTTCGTAGTCCCCTTAAGAGACCTTTGTACCCTCTTATATCTTCGATACTTTCTCTGTCCCCGAAGCTATATCTGTTCTTCGTTCGTGGGAGATTTTTTTTCCTACCTGGTTTTGTGTCTGTGCTCGATCGAGGCTGCGTCTTTCTTTTTAATAGTGGAGTGAGGGAGGATCTTGTACCCCTCGTTTTTATTTGGAACGTCTGTTGTTCGAAACCGACAGCTCACTCGCAATGTATGTATTTAACGGAACAACGCCTCTGCTCTTCGTGCGTGGTAAATTGTACATAATTCTAAGGATTTAAAGCCCTGAAATCTCTTGTAAGTAAATACAGTCCGCTTCGCTGCTATCGCCGTGGCGATATCTTTGTGTGTTTTACATCGCCGCCTGCAACAGCTGAACAGCTTTTCATTTTCAGCCCGGTGCACAGTAATCGTTAATCTATCGTTTACAATGCCCGGCGGCCTATGTGTAACGAACAGAAAATATCCTTTATAATGCTATTATGCCTGACGTATGCAACTGTTTTACGATTTACACGCGTTGGCCGCATTAAAGCCATTGTTCGTTTCGTTCGGTAATCTTTCAATGGTATCGTCGTCGTTCTAACAATAATTTAATCGGGGATTGTTTCCGTAAAGCCATCTAACTCGGGCATTTAATTTGTACGTTCAGTCTCCTCTTTGATGTAAAAACTGGCGGGAATATTCGGTCTGTTCATAAGTTCTGTCACTTTTTTTCGAACCATGTTTATGTCAAAAGAACGATTTTCACGTGAAAAGAATTGTTAAATTTTCAGAAAGTGAACGCACAGCCACAAAAAAATATTTTAAAAATTATGCAGGAGATTATATTGCAAATTAAGGAAGAAAATAGAAAGAAAACAAAGAACGACAGAACTTGCGGACAGAACTAATTAATACAGAATACGTTTTAACCATTAACTGGTAAGGTGGGGCTTCAGGAACACCACGAATATTTTCAGACATTTTATATTTATTCAATAATTGCCTACTTAAAGAAATGCTTTTTTAGTAGGTAATTATTAAGACAGGTAATTCTGTAGAGTAGTTAATCCCGGTCCCACTGTACAATTATTATTTCGTAATTCTCCTGACAAGTATCGATTATAGCTCACGATTAATATAAATCCATCGATTCCAAGAGGGGAGTTGTTTAACACTAGAACTACCAAACAAATCCACATGATTTGTCAGTACACTCCTATAACGATGATTTAAATGTTATACCAATATATTTCCTAAGATCTTTGGAACTTTTATTACAATATGAAAGTAAAGAAATTAGTTAATTTATAAGTTCGTAAATTTTCAAAAGTTTGCCATGTTTATGGATCGATCAAATTAGACATGCGTTTATCATCGGTAGTTCCAGTGTTACAGCAATATTCGCGTTTTCTCATGAAATCTGCGAGCAAAAGAACAAAAAATGGAAAAGAATGCGTTGCGTTCGTGTCGATACGACACACGCAGTCGCGGTCGTTGGTGTAACGTTGTTCGTTTTAATGCCATCTGATTTAATGGGCAGCGGATGGCGTGTTTCGAGGGTGCACGTAGGTCGTCCTGGCGAACGGCTGTCGCATTGCATGCGACGCACGGGACACGGCGCGACGCGGTGCGTTCCCGTTGTTGCGCCACGGCCGGCCAAAGCTTCGTTTCTAATTAGAACGCTGCGAATGGTAATCGGTTTATTTAAAAAGCCTTTTAGCGGCCGGCACTCTGTCCCCCGGGGGACGGAAGTTTGATTTTAACTGGCATCGAAACGCGACCGCCGTTGTCTGTATGACACGAAGGAGACAATGCCGTTGGTCCACGAACAAACCATTTCAAACATATTCGATCGGAATATCTGACGAGCAGTTTAAACAATTCAAGCCGAATTTGACGATGGTGAGACTCTGAAACTGAAGGGCACTTCTCAAACGATGACTGCGAATTTTATGCATTTATCGTAAATGTGAATACAGACTCTTCTCGATTATTGTCCCAAACTCGGGTCAGCGCCAGGACAATAATCGTATAGGGAGAAATACTTCAGACCCGCGTAAATTCGTTTTTTTTTTCCTAAACCTTGGCAAGAAAAGCTTCGGTGCCCGAAGGCCGATTTTTTTCTTCTGGCGTGTCTCGATCTTCTTGGGAAGACATCCACGTAGGAAAGGAGGTCGAGGGAAATATCTTTCGGGGGTTAAACGCGAGCCGTTTTCCAAGCCCGATCGTTCGGAAGACGAGGAATCACGCGTCACGCCGGCTGACACCTCCAACGAAAATCGGCACGTGCCACGGGATTCTCGCGAACGCCGCCGCGACGAGCTCGTGTCTTCCGTTCCTTTTCGTTTCCCCATCCCCCTCCGCCCCCCTGCGCGCAAGACGGACCAGGAATTTTCAGTAGCAAGCTTATCCCCACCCTTGAAACAGCCGATTTTTCCTTTGGAGCTACGAGGTAATCACTGTATAATACAATACAATACACGGTGTTGTGTGGAATGTCAATTAATGCAAAAAAAAAGGGCTGAAAATTATTAGATAATTGCAGGTGAAATGACTGTTTTATTAGTGCCCTTGATATTATTGATTGAACATTATACGACTTTTATTAGACAAAGTAAGAATAAATGGACTCTATATACGTTTTTCTTTGGAATACATGTTTTCATTTTAAAAAATTTTTTAAATTTTTGTTACTTTTATGTTTATATTCATCTCTGTATTTATGTTCATGTTCTACCAACTCTGAATGACTGTTTTTCTTGAACTATCTTTAACCAACTCTGAATAACTTTTTTTTCTTAAACTGTGTCCAACCAACTCTGAAGAATTATCCTGATCGGAGTTAGTTAGAGTAACTGGTTGAAAGAACTGGTACATGTTGCAAAATATTTTTGTTAATAACTTTTTAATAAAAAAACGAGCGATGGTGAAAATTTCTTAAGAGGTAACTCAAAATAGTATCCTTATCTGCATCCCCTAAACATAATTTTTACCTAAATTAGTCATCCGTTTGATCTTTGTTTGTTTCTGTTTTTGTTAAGATTTAATAAATGAAGTTTTGTTAAATCCATGGTCCATTGGCTGGTATCCAAAGTTTAATAGAGTCACACAAAATGAGTGCCCTTGAAAAATCATGAAAAAAAAGAGTTGACAAAAACTTTGCTATAATCACGTTAAAGCTCTCTTGAAATAATGCTATACCTGATAAAAAAATTTTCGATCGAACTGCTAATAACAGAGTAATCTCTACTGATCACGATTCGTGGTTCGCCATGTATAGGGCAAAGGTACAACCGAAAATACCGGTATAATACCGGTGTTTCACGTTTCGGTAGAAGTCCCTGCTGCATAGTGGTATTTTCCAGGTCGCGGAGCCACTTCGGAAAAGCGTGTGCTCGTCCCTGGTCGCCAACTAACGGGGAAAAATCAACGGGGACGCGCCTTTCGTCTTCGCCTCCTCCCCCCTAAGGCATTGATTGAAGTTTGTCTTCCGTCAGGGAATCAAAATCGTCGCGCGACTTCCGTCTCGACGGGACCGTTATTCCATTACGCACGTCACGCGTGTCAACTGTCGAATAAAGGGCAAACAAAAAGGCGCGGGGCACGACTGCGACGCCGAGCAGACGACGTGGCGAGAGATGAAGCGGAGGATGCAGATGCGAGAGGACGGTGAATTTATATTCGGTGTCTTTGCAAATAGCTCCATTCCGTGCGAGAACCTTGAAACGTTGGATGGAACTCGGAGAACGTGATAGGATGGTTGCACCAGTAAATGAACATGTACCAGTGAATCAACATTATATGTCAGTACAAGTAAATTAAGTTCTTAAAATAAGCAAATGATTAAATGTTAAATGATTGTTTTCACTTCCTTGTTTTATATACAAACAATTTTATAATTTTATTTAACGATCCCAGTACAATATTTAAACAAAATTTATTACTGTGGAAGTTTTATCTATGAAGTATTAGTATAATTTCTGTACGCTGTGGAAATGTTAAGAAACGATTTAATGTTGTGATAGTCAACAGTTATATAGAGACGAAAAACGTGGTTGAAAATAGTTTCATTACATTTTCCGATTTTATACGTTGTGATCCTTTTTGCAACTAAAGTTCTTTTTTCATCGGCTAATCAACACTATTATATAAATAAAATGGGTACGTTTTTTATAGGATAGTACATTAATTGTAGAAGATATAGGTACATTTTTTAATGAATGTTTGGTGAAGGTTTTCTTAATGTATCTCCAAATTTTTGTTATAAAAAAAATTGTCCGTAAATTATATCCCTTATAAGTGGCATAATGTGTGTAAATTCGTCTGCAGACTACTTGTTTAATCATACGCGATTAATTAGTCGCGAGACCTCTTCTTCTTGTTCTCCTTCATTGCTCTCTGGTTTACTCAATCATTATTAAAAGTCAGATATAATTTATTACATAAGAGAAGCTATTCTTTTCAAATATTTAGAAAGTACGTATTTTCAATTTTCTAAAAAGTCGGAGTCCGAGGTCACCGGACACGTCTGCCATTTGCAATTCGTTTCTTGCCGATGATCAATGATTTGGTGAAACTTTGAATCCGATTAGCTTCCGGCCGGAAATGTCCCCGTCCCTTGAAAATTGATCTTTGAACTTGTTATCTCGAACCGTCGCGGTCTTTACACGAAAAACTATCCGTGGACCTCCGTGAACGGAAGATTTATTCGAGATGTTCGAGCGAAACTGCATCGAGATAACGCGTAACGGACACGGACGTAATGATTACACGGCAATTAATCTCGTATATAAAATATCATAGAGATACTTTATCTAAATTGTCCCTTAATCTACTCATCTGAATATAGACCACAAACGAATAATAGTCATGACTATATAATAAGTCCATCTTGGACCTTTCACCACTGATCTAACTCGTGACTAGAAAACAAGGATACAAATTGATACCGTCATTTGACAATGGAACCACCAGACCCAGCAAAATAACGGATTTCAAATTTCTTGTTTTAAAATTACTACAATTATAACGGTGTTCTTGTCGGAATCTATCGATTTTTTGCTCGGCCGGAAGACTCGCGCTCTGATTGTTCGGAGCTTTCCGTTAATATCTTGTTAACAAAGCCTCGTATAACATTTTCGCTAAGGAAAATATTCTCTCAAATCATCCCACGAACCCCTCATTTCCAAGAGTCGAAACTATTTTGGGACACCCTGTACAGATTTTCAGTATGCAAAAATGTAATTGGAATTTCGTTAATAATTACAATAGTTTTAATTCTTCTTGAAAAACCAGAATGTTGCATATTAATGGACATATTGCCAGATCGTCGTTTCCATTTCAGTTCGAGAAAACATAGAAAACCTCTGAAAATTTACACAATGGCGTCAAAAACCGCCTGGAATAAAAAATTCTTCAGAACCAAATAATGCTCCCAGATCGACGATAGAAAACGAGCAGGGTGTCCGCCGCGGAAAAATTCCGCCACGATACGGGATCGTCATTTCCATTTCAGTTCGAGGAAACAGAAAACCTCTGAAAATTTACACAATGGCGTCAAAAACCGCCTGAAATAAAAAATTCTTCAGAACCAAATAATGCTCCCAGATCGACGATAGAAAACGAGCAGGGTGTCCGCCGCGGAAAAATTCCGCCACGATGTGGGATCGTCGTTTCGATTTCAGTTTGAAGAAAGGTGGGAGACCGATGAAAGGGGATGCCCGGCGTCGGGGGTCTTTGAACTCATTCCACCGCGGCACAGCCACCCCCCCCCCTTTCCCACCGTATCCTCCGATACGAATTCACGACATTCCCTTTTAGGAACGAACACGACCGTATGGGCTCTTACCCGCTCGGGCCGCGTGCATACATGCAACCCTTGGCTGTCGCGTGCGAGACGCCGTCGAAATATGAAAGCGCGTATCCTGACGTTTCCTTTAATATTCTTTTCCCAGCCGCCTCCTCTGCCTCCTCCACCTCCAGTCGACGCCCCGCACGGTTTCTATGCTCGCCGTGGAAACGCGGAACGAGCGTGACCGAGGAAGACGGTGGGGGGGGGGTGGAAAGGGGGTGGAATGCAGTCGAAAAAAGGGAAAAGAAACGACTGAAGGAAAGTGAATGGTAGGGGGAGTAGAGCAAGATTCGGGGAGGATTCATTTTTTAATGCTTTGCGGACGGATGGAAATCTGGGAGGATTTAGTTGGTGTTGGGAAATGGTACTTTGGGGGTGTTAGTTTTAGAGGAGGAATTAGTGGGCGATTGTTTGGTCATATCTTGGGAACAATATGGTATGTACCTACTTTACAGGGTGATTGATATAGAATATCTAAATATTTTATATAACAGAATATCTAAATATTTTATATAAAGGAATATCTAAATATTTTATATCTAAAGTTTTCGATCTACCGTTAAATAGTTAGTAAGAGGAGTAACTATAATAAATTAAAATACGTGTGTATACTTCTGGGATGTTTAAAGGTAATTCGTCATTAAAATTAACTAAATGGGAGTGCCTACGAAAGCGATGAAAATTGAGGAAAGATTTTATAATATAAAAGCGTCTCGATATAACTGTACATAAATTAAGGTAAATGAAAATTTAAAAGGTGGAATTCTCTACGTTCCAAGCCTTAATGTAATTACACAAGTACTTAGTCGCGGAAGAAGAAATAAAAGTTGAATATAACGTAAAGAAATTGCTATTAATGTAATAGGAGCGTTACACGTGTAAAAGGTAGGAACGGAGGCGTACTGTATTTCCGCGGAAAGCGCTCGTGTTTCGAAAGAAACCGTAACAAGTAGTGTTATAAGAAGATTTAGGGGAAATCTGAAGCGTCGGGGATTTAAAGAAAATAATACTGGAAAGAAGTATCCATAAGAATAACGAGAGATGAGCGAGAAAAACTAGAGGAAACGACGAGGGGCACACAGGAAGAAACGGAGTTACCGCGTTTAAAGTGATAAACCGCTGAAACATTAAAAAGTTGGAGTTGAAAAAACGGTCAAAAATTCTGCGTTAAATCGATACAAAAAAAAACAAAAACACGAGAAGCCAAAGGGGTAACGAACGAATCCGTTTGAAGGAATCGAAAATGGCGGAGAGCAATGAATAAAAGATCGAGAGGTTAGAAGCGATACAGGAATAGGAGAAAGTGATTTACACACTTTTACCTGCTCGAAAAACAATGGAAAAGTCACGCGTGTCTGCGTACGGATACAACTGGAAGGCAGAAAAAGGTTGAAGAACACCGCGATACTGTTTACGCGCGTCTTCGCGTTTCCCCAAAAGCGAAACAAATGGAATAAAACTGCAGCAGGTGATTCTACGGGGGACTGCGTACGGATACAACTGGAAGGCAGAAAAAGGTTGAAGAACACCGCGATACTGTTTACGCGTGTCTTCGCGTTTCCCCAAAAGCGAAACAAATGGAATAAAACTGCAGCAGGTGATTCTACGGGGGAAGGCGCGAAATAAGAAAACAAAATGCTGAATGGAAACGGCTGAAAAGGAGAAATAAGAGTGCCGTGGCGAGAGAGAGAGAAGGACAGAATTTATTAGCCGGGAACGAAATGAAAGAAAGCACAATGCGAGGAAGAAGGGGTAGCAGGAGCGAGGAGCTTAAAGATAACAAGATGGCGAAGGCACGACGGAAACAAACGAAACAGAGGTTCTCAAAGTTTTTCTTGCGACCTGTGGTTTTCTGTGAATAACTTTGCACACTAGTTATGTTTGTAGTGGAGATATTTGACTTTAGACACAATGGATATTGGATATATTGAACACTAGATACACTGTTGCACTGAATATTAGATTACTGTACACTAGAGCCTCTAGAACTTGGATATCCTGAACACTAGATAGACCGAATATGCAAGTTGCATTGGACACTAATTTTGTTCTAAATAAGTACAATAAATTTATAGTACATCTTAAACAATATGACTATTAGATATATGTATTTAATATTGAATGAACTGAAAATATTGGAAAGTGCACGATTACACAATTCTCATTTGTACAAAATTGTAATTAGAATGTGAATATTAGTCCATCGTTAATTACAAAATTTTCTGAACATCGTACAAGAGTTTACACAATTATACATGGTAACTTTCAGGAAATATGTATAATAATATATTAGCTTCGTCCTTTAGAAAAACGATCTTGAAAGTAAAGAATATCCTGGAAGGAGAAAGCTTCTTAATAAAAAAGAATCTATTAACAAAATTTCGAAAATGCACATTTCAACAAATAAATCTTTACACATTCACACATCACTTTTTAGTGGTAACTGACGTTAAATAGTAATTCTTGAAGTGTCATGAATTAAACCTTCAAGCTGCAAGTCAACATATGACTATTTACTGCACAGTGACATAACTCAAAATTTACAGTTTTTGAGTTATTAGTGTAGACACAACGGTTGAATCCTGAGCTTCGAAAACATACGTCAGGACAGTCACTTTAATATGATATTCGTACAAAATTATAACGACCAAAACATTCAAACTTATTTCCCCTAAAATGGTAATTTTGAGTTATGTTGTTATTGCAGCAAAATGAACGATATATCTACATAATTGTCTTGTCAACTATTATTAAAACAAAAAACTGCGTATTATTAAATGCACTAATGAACAATTGAATATCTTATCATTAGGAATAATTCTAAGACAATATTTCTTCTGTATTTACTGCTTCAACAATCGAGTATTTAGATAAAAGAAACGCAATTTTCTCCTTTAACAGTTGGAATCTAAATTCTTCTGAACCTAAATAAATCTGAAACAATAGCATATGTTACGAATAA